TTGGTTCTGTTAGTGGACTTGGCCTTCAAAGCTTACTTTGTGCTGTATGTTGCCTCCCCTTAGGATTCTGAGTTTAAAGCTCCTGTATTTTACAGGAGAAACTCTTCATATAATTTGTATCTCTTAAGCTATGTTTTACAGTGCAGGGAGCTGTAATGATGACCTTCAGTGTGGATTCACACAGTTTGCAGTGGGCCGAGTGTGTAAGGAGAATTTGAGGTTTTGAAAGAAAATCAGGATGCTGTTGCTATATGCTACTTGAATTGCTGCTGCCGCAGCTGTGAATTTCCACTGCAGCACATTTGCTGCTATTACCAGTGTTCTTAGAATCTTTTCTATTATTTTGCAGTTTACAAAAATGACTAAGACAACTGGTTTGTCAGAAGATATAGTGTGGAACTGCAAGATACTGCTGAAGGAGAGGGATGTGGTTCTAAAGCTCATGAATAAATGTGAAGACATTTCAAATAAACTGACAAAACAAGTAACCAAGATTACTGAAGATGGAGGATGTGGATGGAATATAGAGCAACCCTCCATTCTGAATCGCAGGTATCTTTCCCTTCTTTGTACTTACAAGGGTGTTGGACAATAAGGTATTCTTGAAAACTGGGATTTTCAAAACTGAAGTCTCTGAAAATAGAGGTGCAGATGTTTGACACTTAGCAGCTCTCAGTGAGCCTAGATAGTGATGTTCAGTACTTGAGGGACTCCAACAAATGTTTTTAAGTGTATCAGGAAAGCTGATGAGGAGGATAAGAACATTGAAAAAAGTTATCATGTGTAAAGTTGTGTTTCATGGAGAAACAAACAAAAAGGTGGTAACAAGCTTGATTTCTTAACAGTTTGAAACTGAAGCCGTATCAGAAGATTGGTTTGAACTGGTTAGCACTGCTGCATAAACATGGATTGAATGGCATATTGGCTGATGAAATGGTAAGTGGGAAACTGGTTATTTAGGAATAATTGAAATTTTTGCAAAAATGACTGTTAAATTCTTTCCTTTCCTAGAAACCTCAAGCAGATTGTAATTTGTTTTAGCTAATATAACTTAAATTGCAAACAATTTTTCCAAAAGCTTAGAAGCTGCTGAGCTCTTACTTTCCATTTGAAAGTTAAAGGTGACAATTTTCCCAAAAGCTTAGAAGCTGCTGAGGTCTTACTTTCCATTTGAAAGTTAAAGGTAGCCTAAGATTCTTGGATACTGACAATTACAAGTCCCATGGTGTCTTCTCAGATTATCCTCAAACCATTGATAGCTCATAATGTCTTCATAATGTAGCTCATTGATACCCCATAAATAAAATTGATTCTACTTGTCCAGCATGTAGTGAGTGTAGTGAGCCCATCTTCTACCTTTCTCCATCAGTTTCAAAACAGGGAGTTAACAATACAGGGAAAACTAAGTGGTTAGAAGCCTTTTCTACTTCTCCAGAAGCAGCATTTCCACCATCTCTTGTCATTATACTCCCAAAAAGCTTTGAACTAAGAGAAGACAGCTTATGGATTTGAGGTTTTGTTCGGTGCTGATGCTACCAGTAATTGTACAACAGAAAAAAACATAATGATGCAGCTGCTACGTGTGTTATCAGTTGCTTTTAATCCTGGCTGCTGTTCATCTTGTGATGAACCAAGGAATGAATGGATGACTCTGCTTCACTGTGACTTGGGCAGTGTTTTTCAACTTTTGTATGTTTTGAGCTTGTAAGAATGTGCATATTTTGTGGCAGATAGGATAAATTTTTTAATTAATTATGCAGAAAACAGGAAAGTGAATATTGGTGGAAATGTGGGCTTTTCTTAAAGAAAACTGATTTCCATGTTAAATTCCTCTTCAGAAGTAGCTGGAATATCCATTGTACAACTGACTCAAATGGAAATAAACATTTTGTTTCCAAGTAATCATTTTTCAGGGAGGTAAATTTCTGAAGAAGATCTGAGGGAGGAACTTGAACTAAAATGAAAAACTGCATAAATAGAAAAGATGAATTTTTGATGCTCAGACATTGAGCTGTAATAATAATGGAGTTTAAGATTCTACCTAAGAAGGAATTATCTTCTGTAAAACAGTGTGGCTAAACAAAACAAATTTTCTAATCACATTTGTAATCTTTACTGAACCTTCTCTACACTGTAATTGTGTTACTGAGTACAAAGCACTATTATGTTCTACAGATTGTAAATTTTGTTTAAATGGTTTTGTTTTCTCCTAGGGCTTAGGAAAAACAATTCAAGCTATTGCATTTCTAGCTTATCTCTACCAAGAGGGCAATAAAGGTCCCCACTTGATAGTTGTGCCAGCTTCAACAATAGGTAAGTTACAAGCCTCAAAAATATTTGTTTAAAAAAGAAGAAAACAATCATGGACAGTCTGTGAAGCAAAGATAGTTTAAAAAAAGCTTGATTTTCTTATGGTGGTATTGAACTCCTTAAGTAATTTGAATTGGAATGCAAACCATACTGAAGGCATGCTTGTTCTGAATTAATTAGACCTAGCATGGAGGTTTTTTGAATGATATGGATGCTTCACAGAAAAATAAAGCTTCTTGTCACAGTTTGAACTTGTGTAGCAAAGTAGTCTTTTTTCTTGCTGAATATTGGCTGAAATTCCTAGTCTTCAGGCTGTGCTTAGGATTAGGTTTCATGACATTTGAAATATTCAGTGTCTTCTTTGCTCTTTGCTGCACAGCATCTGCCAAAGCAGATCAAAATCTTAAAACGATGAGGCTGACTGTCTTTTAGTTGTGTGTTCTGATTGTTTAATGGCCTCAGTTGAAAGTAGGAAGAATATGGTGGAATAAAATATGTCAGCAAGCTAATGAGTTGGAGCATAAACTAGTTTTCAATTGAGTTAAATTTGACTTTGTTGAATGATTATGGAAAGGAGAAAGTAGCAAGTAAAAATTAGGAAATAAATGCTGCTTTTAATATAAAATACTTCTTTGGGCTTCAAAAATTTCTCTTAACACAGCAGAAGAGGTTACAGTTGTTCAACTTCAGTTCAAAATTTCCATTTAGTGTGCTTTCAAACTTCACTTGAACCTGTTTTGTGAAAATAACTAAAAAATGCACGTTACTTAAAACCTGGGGTACGTCTAAATATGCAATCAAAGATGCTTTTGTGAAGTCAAGTCTTAAGAGGCTGGTGAATTGTAGTAGCAGGTTGTTCCAAGCCATCCAGCACAGGGATGCCTGGGATGTGCAGTCTGTCAGCAGCTTTCCTGATGCTTTCCTGGAGGTGTCTCCTTAGCCCTGATCTGGGCCCAGGCCCAAGTGGCATTTGCCAGAGACCTCCTTCTGCTGTGGTTTGGGGTCAGTGGGTTGTGTTGGCTGTCAAACAGATTCCCCTTGGGCACAGTCACGTTGCCAGTGGCAGCTCTGCTGGCTGCACACCTGGAGCTGGGTCGGGTTGTTGGGCTCCCTTGCCTGCTCCCAGAGGCACTGTCTGTCCTGACACACTTGTGGAGGCAAGTACCAACAAATGAAGTGATTTGCTTTCTGAGGAATTAACTGTCTAGGGAAGAAATCAAGATGAGAAGTTAAGCACTGTATTATTTTTACATGGTGGTTACAGACCTTACAGGGTCTGTTGCTGTAGGAATTTAAAGTGCAAGATGTCTAAGCAAGATCTACTGAAAGCCCAGTTGTGGGTTGTTCAGTTTCCTAAGTATTACCAATTTTCCAGTATTTAGACAGAATGTTTCTTAACCTTCAGGAGAATTTAAGGGGATTTACTTTAAAATCAGATGTTTGGTTTAATGCTGAGGTGTGAAGTTATGTAAGGCATAATGAAGTATAAATAACTCGGTTTGTATTTTAATGATGTCTTACAGATAACTGGATAAGAGAAGTTCATCTATGGTGTCCTGAACTGAACGTCCTATTTTATTATGGTGAGAAATCCAATTCAGAAATTAATCCAGTAATAGTTGCTAACATGCTCAGACTAAGATGAATTGCTCATGGAAACTGTTTTGAGACAGTTGTTTAAATACACAGCTTATTGATGAATGATTTCTATGTACTCTCTTTAATTTTTATATGTATATAAATGTATGTAATTGCACTCATTTTATGTTTTGTTCTTTTGCAGGATCCCAAGAAGATAGGAAACATCTCAGGGTGGACATCAGTAATAAAGTTGTCGATTTCAATGTGATTGTAACTACGTAAGTATAGATATAAAATTACAAGTGAGCTCTAGTGAGGTCCTCCTGACCTCTAGTGGTACAGCAAAACAGATAGTTTTGGGAGTTGGGTTTCAAATACTCTGTCGTAGAGGCTTTAGCTATTATCTGTACATGCTGATAGATCTAAATTACACTATAATAGATTTGCATGGATATTTGGGAAGTGGTACCAAGAGCGTTGGCTCATCAAGTAAACTAATTTTTTGCCAGTAGCAAACTGTTATGGTTGGTTACTTCAAGGCAGTTTTACTGCCCCTCATGTATTCTTTCCATAACTCTTAACAATTTTAGAGAATTTAATTTGATTGTGATAATAATATGTTAATTTTTAAAGATGGATTAAATGCAAATAATATTTTTCTGTGACAGATACAACTCTGCAATTAGCAGCTCAGATGACCGAGGACTGTTTCGCAGGTTGAAGCTTAACTATGCAATTTTTGATGAAGGTCATATGCTGAAGAACATGAGCTCTGTACGCTACCAGCACCTTATGACAATTAATGTAAGAGGTTCAGTTATTGTTGGGTTAGAGGGGACAACTCCTATTTTTTGTTTTGTAGTTATCAGTGTGGGGGAAATGGAGTATTACGTGTTCATATATACACATAATGTTAGAGACACTACAGTATACAAGTGAATTTAAGTGTCAGGTCTAAGGATTAGATCCTGCATTGTGATCTCTTTCAGGGAGATAAGCTTCCAAAGAAATGTAATAAATTTCCTGTAGCATTATTACAGTTGTATTAGGGGTTGAGTTTCAGTGTTAAGCAATTTCCCAGTTTTATCCCATAGTAATAAAGACAGTAAAAATGCTAGTCTGATTACTTGTGTGGAAACCTTGCAGTATTTAAGGACCTGCTCTGATAGGACTGTGCAAGACAAGCTTGCTTTAAAATAATTAGTATTTAAGGACTTGCTCTGATAGGACGGTGCAAGACAAGCTTGCTTTAAAATAATTTTTTCTTATAACTTGCAACCTGAGTCAGAAGTGTGAGTACAGCTCTTTCTCTGATTATTTTGATCTAGCACTGTAGTGTTTGTACAATAATAATATACTTATGCTCACTTATTACAACTTACATTTCTAGATCATCTTTTCATTAATACCCGTTTTAAGAAGCTGGTCTTTAAGCAATGGCTCATACTAGCAGTGTGAAACTTGTGCTTAAGGTACTGTGTGACATTAGAGAGCTTGAAATGGGAGCAACAATTAGCACAGTTATTAAGAGGAAAAAAAGAAACCAACAAGAAAACCCCAAGAAAAGGCAAACAGAGCAATCAAGAAAAACCCTAATAGATCCAGGAAGGCTGTTTTGAATCACCTTAAATTGGTATGTTCAGAGTTCCCTACAGATCTGTAAACAGTTTTGTTGACTTAAGGAAACATTTCCATGAGATTCAAATATATAGTAAGTTTTAGTAGTTATAATTTAAACCGAACTCGTTTTCTCATTTCTCCATAGCTGTGTTGTTTCTGCCTGTTTGGCTAATGTTTGTCACTGTTCTTTTCACTTTGGACAAACAGGCAAAGAATCGTTTGCTGCTAACAGGGACTCCAGTTCAAAATAACCTGTTGGAATTGATGTCCCTCTTGAATTTTGTCATGCCACATATGTTCAGCAGCAGTACAAGTGAAATTCGAAGGATGTTCTCTTCAAAAACAGTAAGTATCATGTATTTGCTTCATGAAAATAACTTTTTTTTTCTAAAACACTGCTGTTGCTTCATAACTTCTGTTTTGTTGGTATCTTATGGAAACAGGTAATGTGAATATGAAAATCTAGAAAATGAAAGAATGGAATAAACTCTTTAATGTAAAAGTGTGTCATAACAGAGTATCTTGAAATACTAATGGTCATGTTAAATATGTCTGTTCTGGTTGGGTTTTCCATCAAGTTAGAACAATTAAGGTGGTGCCATGACAGCTGAAAACTTGGCACTCTAATTTAAATCTTGCAATATTTTCCTCAGAAGGATGCCGAAGAACAAAGCATATATGAAAAGGAGAGAATTGCACACGCAAAGCAGATAATAAAACCATTCATCTTGAGACGAGTCAAAGATGAGGTAACGTTTTATCTTTAAAATTATGGTTTCATATCATCAAAAAGTCTGATAATCTTTGAGAGCAGCAGCCTTATAGGTGAGATTTTGGTAGTGTTAGTTTTAGCTGTTTATCTAGGAAGAGCAAGAAACCTGAGCTATCTTTCAGGAGTTTGCATCTGAAAATGTGACCTGCTGCAGCTTTGTGTTTTGATGTTTAGCATTTGCTGAGTGTTTACTGTTGGAAGTTTTAGTTAGGAAAGATCACTGAACAGTGTTTCAGTGCAGTAAGTGATGAGAAGTGAGAAATCCTCATTAGCCACAAAAATATTTGTGACACTATAGAAATGGCATTTTAACTGAGGGGATTTAGGCAGTACATGTACATGCATTTGTGTATATGTATGACTAGAAATGTGTGTTCAACATTATTTTGCTATCATCAAAATGTTTCTTTAATTCAAAAATCTAAAACCTATTTAAATTCTCCTATTTAGAATTGTATTTATAAAAGAAAGGGAAAATTTAGTCTTGCAGGCTTCAGTGGTCAATGGCTTGAAGAGGTTAACCCTGATCAGCAGGGGAATAGATTCCAGGTATTGTGTGTATTATTATTTTATGCAGTTCTGGCATGTACAGACCACACTACTTGATGGAGGTTTGATGTATAATCCAAATCAAGATCTAAGTTGAATTGCTGACTGAGTTCATCAAGTTACAACCACTGAAAGGAGTTGGGATGGGGAGAATGAGTAAAGTAGCTTAAAGGCAGGTTTCTAATATAGTACAGAATTACTGACCATTCACAACAGTTTTTATCTGGGATGATTTTGTTTTGTCAGGTCCTTAAACAACTGCCTCCCAAAAAAGATCTCGTTGAGTTATGTGCCATGTCTGAGAAACAGGAACAACTGTACTATGATCTCTTAAACAAGCTCAAGAAAACATTTAATGGTAGTGGTATGTAAGGTTCTTGTTTCCTTTTCCTGTTTTTTTTTCATGCTGAGACATATGTTGGACATATGAAGCCTTTGCTTTGTAGAAATGTCCAGTGCTCATAGGCAAACTATATCCCTTCTATGAATTTTCCCAATTTCACAAATTCAGTTCTTACAAATAAAGTTCACTTTAGAGATAAAGATGTATCAGATAGGCATCTATGTACTACTACCAAATGTACCTTATTTCTTTGTTTACAGAGAAAACCTCAGATATGGGAAATGCAATGATGCAACTTCGAAAAATGGCAAATCATCCTCTCTTGCATCGTCACTATTACACCACTGACAAGCTCAGGACAATGTCCATGCTTATGCTCAAGGTGAGGTGATGAGATTCAAAAGGAATCTTTCATTTCTAGAAACTTTTAATGCTACTTAGAGTCGTTTTGTGGGGCTTTTTGTGATTGTCAGTCTTCTGGTCAGAAGTGTGTCTTTGCAAATTCGTTGTTGCTGCTTTTTATTTCTCTGCATCTTTCTAGTGCTCTAACCAAGCTCTGTATGTGTTTAACACTGGTTTTTGTATCAGATGTTAGAATGGAGAGAACACTTGTGGGACTACAGTCATCTCCTTTTTGTTAGCCCCCCACATTAACACCTCTTCCCTCCACCCCAAAATTTAAAACCAAAGTGCTTGTGGAAAAAGTCTTGGGTGGGTACTTGAGTTTAATAGTTTTCTGAGTAGCAAGACATCTAGGCCATACAGAACTGAAATAGGGAAGGTATGAGTATTGAACTGTTGAGGATTTTTTTTTTTTGGTGATTTGGCTGGGGTTAATGCCTGAGGAGTTTGGGGAAAATTGTTGCTTCTTTCTGAAGTATAAAAAAATAAATCTGCAGATGCTCAATAGAAAGTTGCAGCTGGCTTTGAATATTCTTCAGCTTTGTTTTAAAGTGAAGCCAGTCAAGGTGGGGGGAAGGCAAGAAGTGACCCATTGGTTTCTGAAGGATTTTTGTCCTTTTTTATTCCTACTCATACCATCGTACTCTCCAGATGTGGCTTTTCTTTTCCTCTTTCTTCCAGGCATGACATCCCTCTACCCACCCTTCATCTTGGGCTGGGCTTCCCATGTCTTCTACCATCTATCCAAGGATCGCACCTCCCTTTTAGGGAATGTGTCGTCAGGGGAAGAGGTCTGATACAGGGGTAAAGGTCATAGGGCTTGATGGGAACTAGGTAATTGCTATGGAGGTTCAGCATATACTTCTTAGTTTTTGGTAGTACAAGTGCTTGTAAAAGCTAAACTGAAGTAATGATCCTCTACTGTAGACCTGGGGTTGCAGAGTTCATCTTTTGTTGCTTGCATGAGCCATACTCTGGCATTTGTCCATGCCTAGGTGTACTACTTTGTTCTTTCAGACACTTTGAATGTTACTGTGTGGTTGTTTTGTGTTTTCTCCTCTGGTGAGATGTGTATTCCATAATTTCCCATCATTTTTGCTAACAGGAACCCACACATTGTGATGCTAACCCTGACCTTATCTTTGAAGATATGACAGTAATGACAGATTTTGAGCTGCATTTGCTTTGTAAGCAATATTCTCACATCAACGACTTCAAGTTAGACATGGATCGGATCTTGGATTCTGGAAAGTTTAGAGCACTGGAACGCATTCTCTCTGACCTTAAAGAAAAGGTATTACAGATGGCTGAAACTCCTCTTCTTGTCAGTCCAAAGAGTGGCTCTAAATAATTGGTTAAATTAACATCTGGTAGCTGTATGTGCATCCCAGTTGCTTTGCTGTGGAGTATTACTATGTGATTTAGTGCATGTGCAATATTGTGCAGCTTTTAATATTCAGTCCTGAGTATGTGAGTCACTTTAGAGACAGCTGAAATAAACTTTCCTATTTTTCCAAGTTTCAGAATATTCATCCCAAGTTAACTACTCTATCAGTCTATGGGGTCTTGCTTAATTTTCACACCTCGTTTGGCAATTAAATACAACTACTACATTAGAGTAATCATGTATGTGTTAAGCCAGTGTAAAGGTCAGAAGAGATCCCTGCTTGGAGTCCTGACCTGAGATTCTAACAGGCTTATTTTAAAGATATGTATGTGCTATAATGCTTCAGAGTACCCTGAATTTGCACAAGCATGTGCTGAGTATCTGATTATTTCAGACAAAAGAGTGCTACTCTTCTGTATTATATGGAATATCATTTCATTTTACATTTTTAATGAAAGTAGTTTGTTTATGGATGGAGCAGATCTGTCATTTATGCATTTGATCTGTGATTTGCTTGAGTCACCTAAGTACAAAGTAACTCAAATACTACTGCATGGACAAACAGTGGGTTGATGCAGCAGAAATACTGGATATGATATTTTCACTGAAAGTCAGTCCTGACTTGATGAATTTCAGCTTACTCTTTTAGTTTGGAAGATAGGGATTCAGTGAAAGCAAAACCATGTATTTACACCAATAAAGAATTTTTGTAGTTCATAGTTGACATGTTTTTAAGCTTTTGTTTTGCTTTGTCATTTCCAGGGTGACAGAGTTGTGTTGTTTAGCCAGTTTACTATGATGCTGGATATCTTGGAAGTTTTCCTGAAACACAGGCAACATAGATATATTAGATTGGATGGAAAAACACAGATTTCTGATCGGTATGTAACTCTTTTGCCAAAGATGAGAGAGAAAAAATGAATGTGTGCATGGAGAGGGGGAGGTGACTTAAGACCCTTATCTTTGTTTTCCAATATATAGAAGTCTGTGATCACTGGGCATTAAGTATAGAGGGGTTTGATGTTGGATTTCAGGTCACCATAGTGTAAGGGTGATCCTGAAAGATGAGGTTTTGGTTGTTGGGTTACAGTCTTAGCCATTGGAATAGAAAATGTGTATCTTCAGCATTTCATAGCGTGTTTGACGTGTGGGTCAGCATGCCATAACAAAAGCTCAGCTGTAGCTGTTCTGTGGAAGCATAGTATAGGCAGATAAACCCCTCTGGTTCTCTAAGACTCACCATTTAGTCTGTCCTTATGTCTAACAATGTGCCAGCACTTTTCTTGTATTTGAGCTGTGCTGGTTTTCTGTTTCAGGAATTTATGCAAAGAATAAAAATGTTTGGATGCTTTTTCCTTCATTTCCAAAACCTGTCATTCTGGTTGTGATGTTACTTCCTGCTTACAGCTGATACCTGTTACTGCTTCTGTATGTGCTGTTAGTACAGAAGACAGTCATGAGGTTAAATTCTTCCCCCATCTTCCCATTTGTTTCATGTACTTCAGTCTTCCCTTGTCTTCCAACCTGCTCTTTGTATTCTGTGATCATTCAAAATCTTTATCCAAGCCTGTTTTCCTTCTTTGCTATTGATCTGTAACTCAGTATGTTTCTCTGGCCCCTGCTGAGGACTGTTGGGACCCATTTTCCTTCTGCACAACATCTGTACTTTTCAGCTACTGTGCAGTGCCACTGTCAGAATTCAGCTCTGGAGCCAATGTGGTATTTTAACCAAGGTCTGATGCATGGTGTCTTGTGTTCTACAGGATACATCTAATAGATCAGTTCAATACAGATATGGGTATATTTGTATTCCTCCTGTCAACCAAAGCTGGTGGCTTGGGGATTAATCTGACCTCAGCAAATGTTGTTATTCTTCATGACATCGATTGCAACCCATACAACGATAAGCAAGCGGAAGACCGATGCCATAGAGTAGGTCAGACAAGGTAAGACATTTGAATTATAATGTCTGGGTTTTGTTGGGGGCAAGCTTTCAAAGGAGGTCCAAAGGACCATGATTAAAAATTGCATTTTTGAGCAGAGGCTTGTATAACCAGCTCTGGGCTGGGTGGGAAGCTAGGAATTCGAATTGTCTTAGCACTGTTGCTGTCAGAATAAACCTTATATACACTTTTCCTTTTGCTGGTTCTCTGCAACTCTCAAATTCCCTATGATTCTAAATTTCTAGTGCTAGAAACTATTTCAAGGCAGATCTGAAGTCTTTGCAACTGCTTGGCCAAGCTGTTTATGCACTTCAGGACACTTCTAAGCTTTTAAGTGCCACCCTCTCGTAAAGAGTGAAGCAATAGAATGCATTTAATATCTCATATGAGGGGCAATTTGACTTGTTTATTTTGACAGAGGCTTTTGTGACTGTCCAGACTTTGCAGTGGCTGTGAGTGCAGCAGCAAACACGTTTTCTGGCAATACAGAGCATAGTTGTTCCAGGAAGAAACAAGAAGCTCTTTGTATTGCCCTTTTTATTCATTTCCTCATTCCTACTTTAAACTACTGCCAGCTGAGTAAAGACATAGCATCCTTCCCTTTTGCACTAATCCAAAGAAACTGTAAAAATGGATTTCTCCTATTTTGTGGTTTTCAGGGAAGTAAAAGTCATAAAGCTAATTGGTAAAGGGACTATTGAAGAATCCATGCTCAAAATCAGCCAGCAGAAATTGAAATTAGAACAAGATATGACTGCAGCAGATTCAGGTGGGTGTTTTGCACATAATGATGGTCCACTGCAGTAAATTAAGGCTGCTGCAATATATTATTCGGAAAATAACAGACGATGCAGACAAGCCATTTGTTGGGAATTTTTTATGTTAAGCTAAAAAAAAAAGTATTTCTGCTGATTATTGTTTGATTTGACAGGATGTGCCCTCTGAGGCTGACCCAGAAATCAGTGACAAAGTCCTACAAGCAGAGGATTTTTTTACAGCTTTGGGGATGATGACTTTTGTCTGTTTTATGTGAAATATTTTAAGCTGTACTAATCCCTGTTTTTATTCCTCAGGAGAAGGAAGCATTCCAGCAGATATAGCCACACTACTGAAAGCTTCGTTGGGTCTCTAAAATGTAAATATGTGATGAAATTCAAGGAAGAAAGGTGATGTTGTACCCCAGGGACTCTTATGTTACTGATGACCAAGAGTTTAACAAACATTTATAACTTTTTGTAGTTTCTTTATGTATTCCTCATGGTATTAAAAATTTTTAACACCAATAGCATTCTTTCAATGCTTATAAACATAAATGGCCCAAATGTGCCAACATAAAATGCTGAATAAATATTATTTTACAGATCACTTTTCAAGACGGGGACCTAAGTAGTAATTGTTCTAACAAATCTGCTACTGCTTAAGATTTGTCAGTATTTTTGTAATTATTTCTACCTCCAAATATATATATATAAACTGTCTGTTTCACTGGATTCCGCGTGTAGATTTTTTTATATGTGCCTTATTTGACAATGTTCGAGTCTGTTTCTGCTTGTTTTGGTTCATTTGATGTACCGTACTCGTTTTGTATCAACTTGTTCAAATAAAATTCCATAGATTAACAATATGTTTCCATGATTGTGGTTATTTGGGGCAGGTTGGGCGATGTTATAAATCGAATAAACAGCTTTCAAACTAGGTGAAATGTTTGTTCCACTTGGATGGACCTGGCTTTATCCAGCAGTAGGTAACTACTAATGCTTCACTGTACTCTAATCACAAGGGTGTTAGGATATTGATTGTAAAACAGAATTCCTGCCAAATGCAACTTTCCAAGTTGCAATTTTTTGTCAGTCCTTGGTGCAGATACGAGATCTTTGTATTGCCCTTTCATTCATTTCCTCATTCTTATTTCAAACTACTGCCAGCTAAGTAAAGACATAGCATCCTTCCCTTTTGCACTAATCCAAAGAAACTGTAAAAATGGATTTCTACTATTTCTCCCTGGTTTTCAGGGAAGTTAAAGTCATAAAGCTAATTGGTAAGGGGACTATTGAAGAATCCATGCTCAAAATCAGCCAGCAGAAATTGAAATTAGAACAAGATATGACTGCAGCAGATTCAGGTGGGTGTTTTGCACATAATGATGGTGGTCCACTGAATTATGTGGACATTAAGCAAGTAAGTTAAGCACATTGAAGTGCCCTAAACGCAAAACTTATCTTTTATATTCTACTTGAAGTTTCAGTGGATTTTGAATTCAGTGAAGTGAAGAGCCTTGGGGGTATCAGTGATGAGATCTGCCTCTACCAAAAGTTTATAATCTGCTTCAAGGATGTGAATCGAGGTAGGAGAGGAGGATGCCTGTGGACATTAAGCAAGTAAGTTAAGCACATTGAAGTGCCCTAAACGCAAAACTTATCTTTTATATTCTACTTGAAGTTTCAGTGGATTTTGAATTCAGTGAAGTGAAGAGCCTTGGGGGTATCAGTGATGAGATCTGCCTCTACCAAAAGTTTATAATCTGCTTCAAGGATGTGAATCGAGGTAGGAGAGGAGGATGCCTGTTTCTCCAGACAGTGGAAAAGACTGAAATCTGGTCTTTTGAACTCAGAGTAAGATTCAGACTGCTGCTTTTTTAAAGGCAGTGGCAGAAGGCAAAGTGTGGCAAAGTCCTTACTGCCCCTGCCCTCTGTCAAAGCCTCAGCTGCTGTATGCTCTGTGCAGAGCTCAGCAAATCTGTGCCAGGCTGAATTGCTCAGGTGATTGCATCCAAGAATTCACTGTGGTTTGCAATATGGGTTTGGAAGTTAGCTACCCCTTTCCTAGACCTGACTGTCGCAGTCAGAAGACACTTATCTTTTTGAAGGAATTTACACAGTGCTCTATTGAAGAGTAGGGAAGAGGAGCTGGAGTCTATTGCTCAGTATTTCAGCCTCTCTTCAGATACTGCTAGTGCTAAGTCAGGTGATCTGTGAGTTGGACATAGTTGGTTTTTGTTGTTTGATCAGGGCTGTGAGTATTTTGGTGAACTATGCATGATTTCTGCAAATTCAAAACTGATGGAAAATTAAATGCTTTTAAAACGTTTTCAAAGTTTGAACTAATCTGCTTGGCTTTTCATAGAAATATTCTGTGGCTATGCTGTATATTCCAAAATGCACAGCTGAAATAGAGTGAAGAAATACTTTATTATGTGGGAAGGATGATGAGTAAGAAAGAATCACTTTGCCATTCTTTAATTCCACTGGTTCTGTTGGACTCAACAGTGGGATTTAACAAACAACCACAGTGTTTAATGCTACAGTTATTTAGGCTGTTGGGTTCTGTTGAGCATGATGATAACCCAACTCTGACCCCATTGTATTTGCATGTTCTCACCTAATTGGTTCAAATGTGGATTGAAACAAAATCCTGCCCTGTAGTGGTATGTGTGGTGTTTTGGATATGTATGGAATCAGTTAATGTAGTCCAGCTGAGCATCATCAGTCAATCATCCCTAGATCCCTGGGGTCAGTATCTGTATTTAAGTGCTATAGAATTCATGTGTGTATGTTTGTTTTATTTTGGTTTTGGTTCGGTTATGTTTTCTTTAAATTTCTTGTAACTATTTCTATACTCTTTAATTGGGGTCTCAAGAGACTGTTTAGTTACTATCCTTGGAGATAATCCAAAGCAGCCTGGATGCAGTCCTGGGCAGCTGGCTCTAGTTCACCCTGCTTGCCCCAGAGGGGTTGGACCAGATGACTTCCAGAGGTCCCTTCAACCTCAACCACTCTCTAACTGGGAAAGATGTATAGAGGGGAAAAAACCTAAAACCACTGTCTGAAGTCAGCTGCTGAAGAAGAGAGGAAATTGGGAGCTGAAGAAGGAAAAATCTGTAAATAGCTAGAACAAAGCCTGCAAGGAGTTACAAAGCAGGTGAAGATAACATATTGGAATGAGCTAAAGATTGCACCTTGCTTTCCATTCTGCCAGTACCTTATTTGTTGCTGAACTGTTAGCAGTTGGTTGGTGTCACTCATGGTTCCATGAAATAACATTTATGGTGGGAGGGAAAAGCAAGTGTGAAGGGAAATACTTTGCCAACAGTGGCCATTTCCAGCCCGGAGGATTGCCCAAGTTGGTTGTGGTTTATCTGCTCACACCACACAGAGGAGTCTTCTTGCAAATACTTGATTCCCGTTGAGTTTGTGTAAACCATTTGCATCTGCAACCATCCACATTGCCAGGATTTCCTACCTCTTCCCCAGTGCCAGAAGAACAAATGCTTCATTGGTCTAATCCTGGTTGGCACCACCTGTGTCTCCTCCTTACTGGAGGAGATACTGAGCTGTTGAATGCACTTAGGGAGAACTGGTGCTGATGTGGGCACCAGCTCAGCTGTGCAGCTGCTTTTTGGGTTGTTTTGGGAGATTTCTTGGAGGTTTTTTTGAGTGGCACTGCATAAACTTCAGGCTTCTCAAGCACTTTCTTCAGCCTCTTGAATTTTGATTAAGTGGGTCATCTTCTTTTTCTTCCCTTTTTTGCTTAGTGTCCATAGTCCTCCTACACATTTACCCTCTCTATTAATTAACCTGCTCTCCTCCAGATTGAAAGACTGCAACAGGCACCTCTCCAGGAAGGTTTATTAGCCTCTTCTCCCTCTGAGAGCACACAGAACATTAATTGGCTTGATCAAGTACTGTATTAGTAGAGGGGGAATGTGATTGAAACCACAATTCTCAAAATCAGTGCTTATTACTCTACTAAATCAGTGTTTTAGATTCTCTCCTGTTAATGGATACAAGTGATAGATTTTGATTTGATATAGTGTTACCTGCCTGAAGTTATTTGAAATGATTATTATGTTAATAACTTAAGCTGCTTCACATACTGAAAAACAAACATGCATTTGTTTTTCCTAGTCTAAACAGCTGATCTACATTACAGTCTTTGGTCTTTTCTGGATCCAGGCTGCAATAGCTGGAAGTGCTTGCACTCTGTCTCTGAGAGCCAGAAGCCTGGGGTGTTTGTCTGCCAGGTCAGGTTTGCAGGACAGCAGTGTTGTACTGCACACATCCCAGTAGAAATCAGCCCATGTTACCTAGTGGAAAGGGGAGAGAAAGCAGTAAAATTTAGTTGGTAATCTCAAACCTGGAATAATTAATATTCTCCAGAAGTGTAGAAATGAAACATGAACTTCTCTGCTTTAAGCTGTTTTGGTGTTGGGTTTTTTTTAAGCCTGTAATTACTAATTAGGTTGCAATGCAAGGCTTCTGTAAATACTGGTTAAAATAAAACCTTTGCTAAAAATATTACTTCTATATTATTCTTTCCTGTTAAATCTGTGCTGCAGAAAAGTGTTTAAAACAGTTTTGGGTAAAAAGGGGGATTGTGTTTCCACTGAGGTTTTCTTCATATTGTCCTATAAACTGATCAGTGATTATAAGCAGAGTTCTGAACAACTCCCATCTGTGTTCACTGGTACAAAGGCATTTAGAATGTGTTGTGTCAACATACTTCTGAACTGGTTTAGAAAACACAGATCCTAGTCCTGGTTTGCCTCACTTTTCTAATATTATGGAAAACAATTTTCACTTTGCAATTGAGAGACCAATTGTATATTGCTAAGAACAAAGTTAAAAATGTGGGGAGAGTTGTTTCATGGGCTGGCATGAAAACCAGAAATTCAACAATAGTCAATTATTTTATTTTTCTGGCAACTTGATTGGAATGGGAGAAGAAAAAATTATACTTACAGAATTCCCTACCAGCCACTTCTTATCCCCTAAGAAAGTATCCAAATCTTGCAGCAGCTCAGGTGCTTTGTTGGTGAGGATGTCATCAAATGCTTTTTTCTGGGTGAAGAACAAAACACAGAGATGGACACCAATGTTTAAGCACAGCAGTCAACAAAACTGAATTTTAAAATGTTTCTTATTTGTGACAAAGAAAACTGAAATACAAATAAGGTTAGATCCCAAAACATGGCATTGGTGGTTCACTGAGCCATGACTTGAAGCCAATTGCTCACTTAATGAATGCCTGGGAGCTGCTAGATGCTGAAACATGTTGTGTGGGCTGATGCTGCACCTGTATCTGTGCTAACAACCACCCAGCCTGGCAAGACAGCAGCCCTGCCATGGATTTCAGGAGACTTCATCTACAAAAGATATTCCCAATGTCTCATGGTCATTTTTTCTGTGACTCTTTTGACTGTTACATTTTCTAGTGTACAGGGTCTCAGATTTTCAGAATTCCTTAAACTCTGTCCTTCCATGCTGTCAGATGCTGATCAGTTATCTTTTCCATACTAGCCTTTCTCATGTGAGATGTGAGTTTTGAGCTTTTGTTTGGGTTTATCTTTGAACTTTAATGTTAGCAGGTCATTCTGCTTTATTTGTCTCTGCAGCAATATGATTTGAGGTGGCTAAAATATGTTTTAAGACTGGAGCAGGAATCAGCCTTAGTATTTGCATGTTAATGGCTGAAGGATGAGATTATGTATGGTGATGGTCCTACACTAGCTGCTCCCCATAGCAGAAAGTTTTAGGGCTGCTTTTAAAGGGTTAAACTGTTTCCTTTGAAAAGGGAAACTCTTTCTGGATTTCTCTTCTCACCTGCATGGAAACAATCTGATATTGCAGACTATTGTGATCATCTGGTCAACCCACGTGGCACATTTTGTGCAGTTAAGATGCTTGGCTAAATTTTAGAGGAATGTGCTCAGGCTTGGTTAAATAAACAATGTTCTACAGGAATAGTGTTATTTCTACAGCTTTGAAATTCAGTTAAAGGAAAAAAAAGAATAAAATTTAGAAGAGGCAACAACTTCAATGCAGGCTGAAATAAAATCAGTGTTTCCACAGCACAAAGGTTTGACATAATTTTCTGCTGTTTGTTAAGAGCTTAGTAACTGAATGAGGTAACTACAAATATCAGCCAGAAGTTTGCAGTCCAGAAACCTCATCTGTACTCTGTGCTGTAGCATTTCCTTTCTCTTAGGTAAGTCATGCCCACTCCCCCACCTCACAAAGACATCCCCAAGCTGCTGTGTGACCCTGGCAGTGATGGGCTCCCCAGGCAGAGCAGGTGTGCAGTCAGGCTGTGAGGCTGCTGGGGACACCACCACGATTCTCTTCTGGAGTGGCACAATCTGTTTTTCTCAGCCCTGGAGCTCTGCAGTGCTGCAGGACAATGCTGTTTTCGTGCCAGCTGTGGTTTGGGGGCTGCAGGGTGAAAGGAGTGCCCCTGCCTGGCACGGAGGGCACTCCCATGGGCAGCAACCACCTCTGCTCCCTCACCTTGCTCTGATTTCTCTCTGCTGCTGGCTAGGCAGCACAACACATCCTTTGCCCTGTCTCTGAGGGATGTGTGTAGCTGTAACCTGGGAAGGTGTTCCGATGTTAGGATGTGTAAATGACTCAAATCTGGGCACGGGACACCAGTTCCAGCACAGGGCAGTGTGAGCAGGCCTGGGAGCAGTGTGGGAGAGCAGCTAACCACGAGAAATTCCCAGGGAAGCCAGGGACTGTCATCCCCGGCCCAAACACACAACCTTGCACCTACACGGGCACACAGGGGCTGCTGCCAGCTCCCTTCCCTTGTAAATTAATCACTGCTGACATCATCTAGGTGCTGAGTTTGGAGAAGTGCTGGAGTCCCAGCTGGGACACATGCAGGCACTGCCACCAGAGCTGTGTCTGCACTGCACATCAGCAATACTGTGGCTGTTTCCAAATGATTAATGAGTCAACTTCCCCTCCCCAAGTTAGGAAACTTCAGGAAATCACTAGAAAAATGTAAGTCCTTCACACTATTAAATACTAAACCTCCTTCATATTTTCCCCTATGAGATTTCTGGGCACTTTCATATTGTTTCTGTATTTATTATTAGTTTGGGGTACTCTGTGGTTTCTGTAATAAGACACCCTAATTGATCTGAAACATTAACTTTGAATAAATGCAAAGTGTCTGCACTGGTAGGTAGGTAGTTCATGGTGAGACCTGTTGTTACACTACCACTTTCCTGAAAGGGTAAGGTCAAAGCTTTGTGGAGCCATGGTACTGCTGGAGTTAACTCAGCACCCACTCCCCTCGGCAGCTGATCTCTGTGCTTGCATTTGGGGTTCTGGTGAGAGGCACTGGGCTGATAGCAAAACCTCAAATGCTGCAGGATCTGCCTGGGACTGTGTGTTATAATAGCCATGTTAGCCTGGTGTCAGCATCTGCAGAAGCATCACAGAAGACTGAGGTGGGTCACAAGGGTCTGAGGAGGGTGGCTGCAGGGACAGTGAGTGATGTGCCACCTTCCCTGTTCAGCCAGTGTCCACTGTCCTACACCACTCTGGGGACTGAAAAGTAGTTGTCCCTGGAAGCTGATGTTATTGAAGACTGATACTTACAAAAACAAAGAAAAAATCAAGATGCAGAAGCGCTAAAAGTTGGGAGCTGTTTATCTTACCAAGTTAGCAGAAAGAGAAAGATTCAATTCTAGGCTGCTTGCAACAAGAGAGAAGTATTGAACAGTGCCAGCTGGGGTGGAAGTGTCATGTCATTACTCTTGTGAAGAGCAATGCATGTCTTTGGTTGGAGGTGAACTAGTAAGGGGCAGCTCATCATGGCCTGGTGAAAAAGCCCTGGTGAAGGAGGAGGTGGGAGAAAGTGGGAAACCTTGTCTGCATTAGCCTCAAGGAAGAACCACAGCAATCCTCCAGCTCAGCTTTGCTGAGGTGAGGTGATGGATCCAGCAACTGACACGTCAGACACAGAGTTATGGCTTAGGTGCTATCTTTTTATAAGTTAGGGATTATCTTACTCTCACGTCCTGGTTTTTCTCTGCCCAAGGGAACAGCGTCATGAAATCATCTATGGTGTCCACAATGGCATCAGCTAGTGCCTGTTCCACAGGTGTCTGACCTGCCAGACCTGTGGGAAGGAAGCATATGAAGGGAGGTTAGGAGACCTCTGTCCTTTGTGAACATTTCCATAAAAAGTCATGCTCTCCAGAGCTTTTTGATGCTAACAACATGGATTTGACTCCTTCCACCCAGGTGCAATCTCATCTACCTTTGCTTTTTCTCTCCCTCCAGTCTCATACAGCCATCCAAGGTAGTGAATTGCTCTTTCCATCACCTGAGCTCACAGCCTGAATACAGCTTCTTAATCCTCACTGCTTTCCACAATCCCAGCAAGTTTAGTGAGAGTCAGCACAAATTCCTGTCAGTTCATCTTTCCCCTTGTGGTCTTTCCATTTTGGTCAATGCATTCTCCAAAAGTTCTTCTGTGAAAGTCTGCTTCTTTTTCCCTCTATCCTGCCCATTCAGCCCCATTTAGAACCTTCTCATGATGTCCCATTTGCTTTTGATTACTTCATTGTAATCAGGCACCTTAGTCAAATTTTGTCTTGTTTACAAACCTGCTTTCCTCCCGTGTTAGCCTTTGGCTTTCCTGCAGCCCTGTTAATGCCACTGGGTTTTTCCCTGGCTCTCATTTCACATGCTTTCACCTCCATGCAAGTGTAGGTCATCCTTCACTTCTTCTCTGTCCTTTAAGCTTCACCTGGAAACTCTGTTTCCCATAAATTGTCTGTTTCCCAGAGGTCCTTCCTCTGCCAAATCATCTCCCTTACTGAAACTTTGCACTATTGAAGGTGAGGGACATGCCTCTCCTCCCGAGCATCAAGTTCTCTGAACCTTCATTTAAGAGTTGTTGGTGATGCCATTTCTTGATTAGCGATGTGCAGGCAGACTTAATAGCAAAACTAGCAAGTTTTGTCTATGAAATTGAAAATATTTTTTCCCCTTCTCTGCATGCTCTTTTTTTTCTGCTGTAGGTGACAGCATGACTAATGGTCTGAGTGTGCTCCAGATCCCAATCTTTGTGGCTGTTACAAGTCAATGGAAAAGGTGTTGGGGGATTGCCAAAGTCAGAACTTCGGATTGCAAAAGCAGCAGAGCTCCAGATCAGCTTCCCAACAGGAGACAGGGAGGGAGGCAGCACGGGTGTACAGCAGGATTTGTCATTGTTTTGCATTACCAGGTGGACTCTTGTTATCTCTTGCAAGGAGTAGATTGTATCAAGGCTAGAGGAAATGGGCAGGAACACAGTATTGCAGACACACTTGAAAATATGTCATGTAGTGCCTTGAAGAATAATGCTCTGCACTTCTACTTGTTTCCTAAGTTAGAAAATGTGAGGTATTTTGAAAGCAGGTTGCATCCTTTTGCTCAGAGTGTAAAAAAAGGATAATTGCACTTCCTTCCCAGCCCCTCTCTTCTATTTGCTGACATTCAGCAGGCCACAGGCACATCTGCCTTCAGCCAGACCTAATTTTGCAGATGGTTTTGAATGACAGCTTGATGACCTAAAGCAAACCCTGACTACTCTCTTTGATCATGTGCATTAGTTTCATAGCACTTTATCTAACTGGCTGAGTACTTCCATAGCATTTAAGTATTTAAAGACACTCATGATGTCACCATCTCTGCCAGCTCAAAATCGTTGCCTAAATCTGTTTCAGAGTGCTCTGCCTGATATGATAATCTCTAATGCCTCCAAACCCCCTTCCTCCTGGCCATCCCTCTGGTTCTCCTGGCAGCTCAGAGTTTAGCTTCAAGGGGAGCTGTGCTGGGAGCCTTGGGAAGCCACAGGTGTGCACTTTCTGTCCTGCTGTGACAGGAGAATAAAGTTTAGTGGCAGAAGTCAGCCAAAACCCTGGGCACTGTATCCAGAGGAGAAACTCATTCAGACATGTGGAGGATTATTTCTGAGTTTTCCTTCAGTCATACATACTTACAGTACAAATACAGAGCTCAACCATGTGACTTCAGCTCTGAATGTCATAGCATTTCACACTACAGGTTGTTACTTTGAACCTTTTTTTTTTTTTTTCTCTTTTTTACATCTGAGAACTCTAAAACCTGTTATACAGCATCCTGGAAAATGTGCTTTGCTCTGTTTCTTCTTTCTGATCTTGGCACTGCAGGGAATATAGCTTGAGATCTCATCAGGATTGCCATAGCAATCCCAACCCAGTTGATATAACTATTAGCAATTTGTGCCTGGGAAAAGCACTAGCACCATTATTGTCAAGCTGGTGTTGACCCCTGCGTGGTTGGGCTTGCCAAGCTTTTGGTTTGTTTCTGGTTTTCCTGTGGATGTATTTTTCCTGAGCATTAAAGGTGGGTTCAGAAAAAAAGAAGAGAGTCAAATATGTTACCTGCTTCTCTGGCAAGATATCTTGCCATTGCCAGGCTCTGGTGAATGATAACTCCATCTACTTCCAGAATTGGGAGTCTGTGAAACGGGATAGCTTGGAGGAGAAAACAGAAAAGAAAAAAACCAACCAAAAGTTAAATCATAGGCTTAGTAATCAGACAGCTGCACTTTTACCACTTAGAGGGTATACATTCTTGTAGTGCTTAACAGTTTGACAGCATTTCTGTGGAGAAATGCATGGACTAAAACCAAAACAATTCAGGAACCAGGGTAAGGATGAAGCCAACTATAGCACAGAAACCAGGCATTGCTTTTCCTGTTTCCTAGCCTTGTGCTATAGAGGCTGAATATGCTCCTACACATTCAGAATTCTTTATGCAGGGAAAGTTTTCAGTGGAATATTAGTTTTTCCTTCTCTTTCCTGCTCCTCCTCCCCCCTTCTCCTCACCCAGGAGAGTGACTGCCAAGATAAAGTACTACTGAAGATTTTTTAGTGCATGATCCAGCTGGGCCATGAAGTAAGAGACTGGGTAAAGACTACAAGCTGCTTTTTCATTTACACTCATTTTAAATTCAGAAGCAGTGATTTAGAGAACTATCTGCATTTCAGGACTTACATTGCAAAGTTTTGCTTGACAGTCATCACCAAGAGACTAACATATCGTTTCATACTGAACCACAAGTGCTAAGAAGACACTTCTATTTACTTGACTTGGATTGCATTTAAGAAAATAATCAGTTAGTAGTGGGGAAGAAGCCACCAGACTTTAAGTATAGGGAAAAACAAACAAGCAGGTGTCATGGTTATCTGTAAGAGAGTTTGAGATAAAAAAATTCATCTTCTTTTTCAGTTACTAATTTAGCAGTTGCTTGAAAACTTGGACTGCTGTTTTGGTGCTTTTTGGAGAAGCTGTTGGCAATGATATCAAATGGGGCTGGAACCTTGGAGTAAAGCTTAAGCTGGGAAAAACACTCACACTTAGGGCAGTGAGAATCTGCTCATGGGAACCCCGTGCTGTTCACTGGCAGAACTGTAAATCTCTGCATTTCAAAGAATGCTATTTTATAAATTCCAAGTATGTGACTGCAAGTGCTGATCATAGCTCAATGCTTTGTACCCAATTTTCATCTGCACTTTATGTAGATAGGATGTATGTCTATCTTAAAACTATGTCGTGATGTAAAAAAGTGGTAGTGGGAAAGTGAGAACATTGGTTATTGGAAACATGCAAGGTGCTTTCAAACCCAGGAGAACTATCTTTATGGGACATAAAGATAGAGTAACACCTCTATTCCATGAGGATTTTTAGTTCTTAATGCAAATGGCAAAATAATGAAACCTCATGCATTTGTACCTGTTTATCAAAGCAACTTCATCAGTGATGAACACGGCCACGTGGCTGTGTTTAGCATGCAGTGTGTGAATCTCATTAGGTACAGGATCTTAGATGTTAAATCTATATCTGCAAAATGAATTTGACAGTTGGACAAGACATCCAGGAGTCCCCTGTGCAGTTTCCTTTTTTTTTCACCTGAACACAGTACTCATGATAACCTTTTTTATTCCTCAAGTTCGGCACACTGGGACATCAGTATAAATTTTGATGCTGATGACTAGTAGAAACAGAAGACCTCAATGAGCATTAGCTGCTGTAGACCAGGGGGAACACACACTGTGCTAGTTGTTATTGAAACAATAATAGACTTGTTGCACAGAAGACTTTGTATGTCTCTTATCCAGAGAGCAGTAAAGTCCTGACAAGTGCATGTTTTGTTTCATTGAGAATCCAGAGCAGAGAAGATGCATCCCTGAATGTTTAACTGAAAAGCTCTCTGGCTGTGAAAATGAGAAGAGCCTTGGCTCTGTGCTGTGGATTAATGGTGCAGAGTGCCCTGAGCATCACTGTGTCCAAAGCAACAGAGCTGTGTAATCATGTTTGCTTCTGCAGGATACCAGCACGTGTTTCAGGCAGGTGTAAGTAGAGGGAATGAAGGTGCACATGACTGATGGATATGCCATTCAGCCTGGGGCCCATCTTCAGATCCCCCAGGCCACACGAGGCTGTACACCACTGCCTGACAACAGGTAACAGCAAAAGCCCAGCCAGGTCAGGAACAGTATCCCCTGCCCCTGGAGGAGTTAACGAGACTCTTATGGATAAGACTCTTATGGCTGCCTCAGTGGGAATGCAGTGGGGCTGATGCTGCTTTGGCCAAGGTCAATATGACTCAACCAGCCTCTGTAGCAATAACTGTCAAAACAGACTGATCACTGCTCAGCTTGGGAAACTGTGATTGCTCCATCTAGAAAGCAAACAGTCTTCTGCTGAGTTTACATACAGGGGAAATCTAACAGTTAGTTTTGACTGATGTTTGGCTTTGTGGGTCACTAAAGAAAAATGAAAAACGCTTTGTTTTTGTGGATATCTTACCTATTTTTTAAGAAACCCTTGATTAGCCAAAGGAGGAAGGCATCTTTATGACAGTTAAGTAACTTGGATTATGGTGTCAAAGTCAGCTAGCTGGCAGAGTGGTAGTAATCTCTCATGTTGTATTTCTTGAGAATATGGTCGTTTCTGAATCTGCCTTTTTTTAATATTTTTTTTCCCTAACAGCCACAGAATTCAAGGGAATTGCTATTTGTTCCTTGAGAACATAAGTAATGCCTACAAAGGGCTTCCTCCTTAGTGCTAAGCTACTTTCATTAAGACCTGCTTATTCTTTCACAGAAAAACTGAGTTTACAATGAAAAATATATAAATACAGATTTGTTTTGTGTGCATATGCTTGCTTGATTCATAATGCAGTTATAAAATGAATAAATGAGAGCAGATTTTATTGAACATTGTCCTCCAAGCCTTAAATGTCCAAAAGGCATTATGCTTTGATTTATAAAGAGACTTGAGGGTGTTTTGCTAGGAGGCAGCATATTATTGCCACCCTTACTAAACAGTGGACTATTTAAAGGACCACAGATGTAGATCTTCCACACAGTAGATCTTCCTTCCTTTCTTGTGTGTTCAAAATGCTATAACAGATGGTAAATGGTAGATCTTCTTTCCTTTCTTGTGTGTTCAAAATGCTATTTGATTTTTCCTTACAAAGAACTGGGTGAAAAAAATGTGATTTGAATATAAACACAGACATTTTTTCTTGCTGATAGGGTGTATGTATATGATTATACACTGACTTTTGTTGATTATTGAGTTAATAAGCTGTAAATGAGTGCAGTTCTGAGAGTTCTGAAGAAGGTACATTTGTGCTGTGCAGTTCATTATAACAATCTGTTGTTTCTTCTTGGGTACAGGGCATGCTATTCTTGCAGACCAGAAAGTACAGCAGATATCCAGGCTGCTTTTGAGCTGAAGAAAACAAACAACAGTCAAGGGGCAGAAAATATTTAGAGCACATCTCCATATTTGAAGAGAAGATATAATGACTTACAGATTTGCATTTTCAGTCTGGAAGAAAATAGGAAAAATAAATCTTTGCTTTTGAAACATCACTCTCCAAAATTCATGTAACAACATTTTCAGGAACCTGAAAAAGTATCTTTTTGCTTTTGTAACTTAGAAGAACAATTTCCTATATTGGTAAATTAATAGGAAACCCAGGAGATTGATGTTACATATAAGTTTGGCTGATGTGGGCAGGAGTGCATTCCCTGTGAAAACTGGAAACTTCCTTTACCCAGTGGAGATGAGTGGGGTGGATTTGTTTCACACAGTTCATCCTAAGGAAGGATATGAAGAGTCTTTGCACTGGATGGCAAGGTCAGGGTTTGACAAATGACCTCTGTGGCCTCTAGACACCTCTAGCAAAAACCACAGCTACCTCAAGGGGCTTCAAACTACAACAGAAACCTTCTGGTCATACATGGATATAAGCAATGTTACCCTTAGATTCAGGGACATGGCATTTTGTGGTTTGCTTTGAGTCTTCTGTGGTGCCTTTGGCCCTGCTCTGCTGTGCTGGTTTGTTCTGCAGTAGAGTTCATTTTCTTCACAGTGGCTAGTATGGGGCTATGTTTTGAATTTTTGCTGAATAATGATAATATGGAGATGTTTTTGTTATTGCTGAGCAGTGTGTACACAGAGCCAAGGCCTTTTCTGCTTTTTGTACTGCCACACTGGCAAGGGAGTTGGGGGTGCATGGGAAGTTGAGAGGAGACACAGCTGGGACAGGTGACCCAAACTGACCAAAGGGATATTCCATACCATAGGACATCGTGCACAGTATGTAAAGTGGGGGAAGAAGGGGGAAAGAGGGGTCATTTAGAGTGAAGGCATTTGTCTTCCCAAGTAACTTGTTACGTGTGATGGTCCCTGCTCTCCTGGTGAACTACCTGCCCAAGGGAAGCAGTGAATTAATTCCTTGGTTTGCTTTGCTTGTGTGTGCAGCTTTTGCTTTCCCTATTAAACTGTCTTTATCTCAACCCATGAGTTTTTCTAGCTTTTACCCTTCCAATTCTCTCCCCCATCCCGCTGGAGTGAGTGAGTGGCTACAAGGGGCTTGGCTGCTGCCTGGGGTTAAACCCTGATATCTGCTCATTGACATTACACGTTCAAGGAGCTTCTGGGGATGTCTGAATGGCCTGTGTGTATAAGCATTGTACTAAACCTGCTAAATTTTACAGCGTTTTGGTGAAAGGCATGGTTTGTGTGACTCCAGATAAGCAGAGATAGTGTGGTTCTTGCCAGGCTCCTGTATTAGATGAGCAAGTGTGTGAGAGGAATTTCATTAGGGGGGTATCAGGGTCATGGGGGCAAATCTTGAAAAAACATGCAATCCTGAATGAACAGTTAAGTCAAAGTAATGCAGACTGGAACAACGTGCATATCACTTTGCTAGTTTTTCTTCAACCCTGATCATCTAGGGGACTGATTCATAATTACATTGGTTTACACCCTTGTGTGTCCATATGGATGTATTTTCCATGTTTTTCAAAACAATGTGGTTTTGTAAATTTTCTAACTCCCACTTGAGCAATACATTTGAAGAAGGAGAACCAGAAAAATCAATTGCTGTCATCATACAAACAGCATCATTTCTCAGGTATGCACAAAATATGACCTTTCCCTTTTAGATCCCTTT